CCATGAAAGCTCATTTCAAATTCTCGTATTATTCTGTAGTTAAAAAAAAGATGACTTCATTATCTTTTTTACCTTTCCTTTAATATCCATGCTTGTATTTAGTATGAGTTTATGATAATAATATGCAAATCCAGAGTAAAAATTAAGGTGTATCGAAAATTGTTGAAATCGTATACAGTACACAAATTGCAAATGTTGTACCTAACAAAAATCAAATCTAACTTTATATTTGTTCATAATTTTACATATTATATCCTAATCAACGCACCGACCACCACCTGCAAAATTGGAAAGTGCGATGTGTATCACAGGGTACTCTTTAGCTATCGCATAGCTATCACTGAGGACCTAGGTATAACGGTAACAATGATAATATATATTTTATACTGGCATGTATTACCATTGAGTTTATATCATGGTACAATATCAGTGGCGTTATTACATATTTTCGTAAAGGAAAAAAGGACTTTTTATCTTTTTTTATATTTCTTTTAATAAGTGGGAAACTCCTTCTGCTGAGTAAAATTAAAAAAATTTATAATTTAATATACCATATAAATGTTGATCATTTTAAACAGTGATTGGTCATCATCTATTACTATGCTTCAAAGTAAAAATTATACTAAAATGGGTGATTTATATGACAATTATGTTTAATATATTAGAATATCAAAAATAGTTTACTTTTTACTGCCCGTCTGTATTATTATTCGATTAATCTATACAAAAAAAAAACTGATACCATAAATATGAAAAATAAACGTATAAAGTAAATTCCGATGGTAAGTTGGACCCATCTCACTAACAATCTAACCGGTCTGTGTGTTTTTAAATATGTACGGGAGAAAATACCCACAACCACTCACTAACCTAAGTACAAGAATGACGCCATTGCATATTTTATTACACTGGACGAAGGTAGAGAGTAGGTGGGTAGATATAACTACCGAAGTTTGCAAAGGTTGGTGATATAGGTAGTATACGTATTATAGCGTAGATCTTTGTTATTTATAGATAGATATTATAACGTGATTGTACGATTATGATAGTTGTACGAATGTGTTTTTACAGGGCTTGAAACTGATATTAAAATCCGTTGTAAAATCCGTTGTAATCGGTAACCAATATATTGTTAGGTATGAAGACGGTTTCGAGCCCTGGCCTTATTGAACACGATTCTAGGATTAAATAATTATAATATTGTTGTATGTTACGTCACTATACTGCTCCGATCTGAACGAAAACAGTTTGCGAGTATATTGGTATAGAGTCGTTACAATTGTGTTTATTATTTTTAAACTAAACCTGTGATTCCTAATTTAATATAGTCGTCATGTATTTATTAATATAGAGTTAAATTCCGGCCATAACTATATTGAGTCCCTATAGAAGAAAATTTATATATATATATATATATTTATTTATATTGCGCACAGAGTGTCGTAATTATTTTTTTATACCGTTCGTGTTCAACTATGATACCGGCTGGTCACTGCGCAGCTTTTCAAACCACCGACGAGTCGGTTAATACTAATAAATCACTTCAGATGTTTAAAGTCGTCGACCGCCGGAAACTTGGTTGAACGCTCTCTAATATCATGTGATCTAAAACGTATGGGTTTCTATCTTATGAATTATCTTAAATGTTAATGACTGCAAATCTGCTCCGTGCGCATGCACGAGGGACATAAAAATCATTTTTTGTGCGATATTAATTATTATTTTAATGGTTTGATGAAAAAAATTATAGGCATACCTTTAGTTTTCCACGACGTGCCTATAAGAGATAATAAAAAATTTCAAATGACAATACTAATAAAAATTGTCTTTTAATTCATAACTTGGTAACACAGTTACTCGTAACAATTATAAACAGCACTATACAGATAAGATAGATTTGATATACATGAATTTAAAAAATGTCTAGTGCCTAGCTAATAATAGTAATAATTTATTATATCTTAATACGTAGCGAAGAATAGTCAATTTTAAAATAGGTTGCCGTCCAGGCCTTTATTATGACCAATATTATACTTAATTATTATTAATTAATTTAGTTGTTTCTTATTATACTCAGTTCTGTGATAAGAATAAAGTAATGAGCTTTGGGTTATCATTAGCATAATTTGAATACAGGTTTTTATATAGCTATTAGGGGTCTATAACTACATCATTTTTAAGGGAACTAATTGGCAATATGTTTCGATTTTAGTAGATATTATAATATTAAGTTAGATAAGCGAAACTAATATTCTCCAATTTATATATTGTAATATTGTATAGGTACCTGTTACTTTTATGAATTAATATTATAAACAGCGTTGATTTTTTTGTTCAAAGTGTAATATGTTTTTTTAGTGCCAAACAACCAAAAACGTTGTTTGGAATGTTACATGTATAATAATTATATTATTAACTACTATGCATAATACATATTAATATGTGCATAGACTATAAATATTGTAATACTATATATTTAATATTTATAAAAAAAAAAAATACAAAGGGATTAAAACCGCTGTAAGTCAAAACAAATTAAGCAACCCTTATAATATTTATAGCTCCATATTTTGGAACTTCGTTTTGTACATATACATGTCCATAAGTCATGTAGAGATACAATCGTAAAAACAATGAGTTCTAGTAAAAGAATTGAAATTGTTTTATTTGGGAACCATAATATATTATGTTATAAAGTATTTAACGCACTTGTAATATTAGATATTACCTACCTATTATATTAAATTATTTTTTAGTGATGAATAATAATGTATTAAGTTAATCAGAACTAACACTTTTTTGTTGTATTTAAATATTTAGTTGGATTATATTCTGTAATATACTAACTAATTATCAAATAATCTATTAGAATATATTCTAGTATATTTGAATTTTTATCGGGATCAAATAAATATTTATTATTATTATTATGTTATATATCTAGAGATAAATCGTAATGTAAAATGTTTACAAAATAAATGTACTTACTACAAAAATGGTGAAACATATGTTTATCTATCAGTATCTACCTACAGTTATTGTGTAAGTATTTCATTATTTATATTTTGTCCGACTAGAATTCATTCTATGGTTTAAAACAAACAGTCGTTATTCAGTTCATACGACTGTTATTATAGTCATTACTCATTATTGATGTAAATAGAACATTTCTAAGAGAAAAATTGTATTATTTGTTTTTTTTTACATTAATTTTGTTGTGCTAAAAAAGCAATACTGCTATATAACTACCACGCATTATACTAACTGTAATTGTTGAGCTATAATGGTTTTATGCCGATAGCTAATAAAAAAAAAAAAAAAAACTACCACGCAAATATTAAACACTATCACTACCTCTGTACTTCTTAATTATGTTAAAATATAAAATAATTAAATTAATACAAATTGTACAGTATATTTTTAATGTTATGAAATATACTTCAAAATGCACACACCTTAGTAAAAAAAGTAAGCTGTATTCAAAATAAAATTTAATTTTTATATTTCAGAAATTTCAACTTAGAAATTAAATAAAATATATTACATTTTTAAAATATCACATCACTGCTTATTTCTCTGACCAGAGAATAATAATTTTGCATCAGACTGGATTTATCAAAAACCATACAGGTAGTAGTAATAAAAGCCCTTATTGTTAGACCTTAGACCCGTTTGTATTTCAGACAGTTAGCTCCATTTTCGCATTTTATGTTTTTAAAACCATTCAAATGACATTAAAATCACACTATTATTATTATTACTATTAGTTATTTTATCTCTCAAAGGTCATTGTTTGGTTTTTAGTGTATGATTCTAAAAAAAAAATTAATCATGTATCTAAATAATTTAAATTTTTACCAAATGCTTACTTTAGTTTTTTTCTATACTTCATACAATTTCAAAATATTTTGGCTGTAATAGAACTATTTATAGGCATAAAAATATTTCAACTCTTATTAGTTTTTTTTTTATATTGTCGATAAAAATGTTTTGCTAGGTCAACAAATTTGAAAATTGAGTACTAAAACCAAGTTCATAAGTTTTTGTTAATAGAAATTTAAAAAAAAATTGAACTTAAACAATATTTTTCAAGAGCAACTGAATTAAGAATTTTGTTATAACTTGTCAAAATTGCGACAATTTTATAATTGTTTTGACTTAGAAATCCATACAAAATTTTCTTTATTTATAGTTTATACCTAAGTTTTGAAAATTCAATACAAGATTCTCTATAGGTTTTCTTACCCTTGAAAAAAAAGGGGAAAGTAAAATAAATTTGTTATGAGCATTGAAGTTCACATTTTTTCAACATTGAATATTAACAAATTATCGAACGGTTTTCATAAATCTGAAATGTTCCCCAAATATTTATTTTATTATATTCTAAATAAGAACAATTTTTCAAAATGTTTTTTTTTTTAGATATTTATTAAGCTAAAGTTTGAACGAAATTAGATATTTAATTGATTTTTATGATTTTAATTATTTTGTTGTAGAATTTATACAAAAAAAAATTTAAAAATTAAAATTAATTTTTTTGATACCTAGTTACTTGAAACTTTTAAAATAAATTAATACGTTATATATTTGAATACACACAATGACATTTTCAAATGCACTTTTTTTGCAAAAAATAATTTAACCTTCCAGCTCAGCTACTACATTACTTATGTCTAATAATTAAATAAATTGCTTTAATAACAAAAATATCATAAAATATACTCCATAATATTACAGCTAGTCGACACACCATTTTCGTTCAGATTCGTTTTTTGTCTAGGTACGATGTTTTTATATCATTGAATTCAAACTATTTCAATTCATAATAATATATTGACGTGTAAGTAACTGAAAAATTGTTTCTAGTTTCATAATTTATTCAAGGACTCCATGATTGATATACAATTATCCAATTTTATATATCAAATAATATAAATATACTTTTGTTTCGTTAATTCCAATAGATGCATGTTTTATTTTCATAAATATTCTTGAACAAATATTGTAGCATAATATATTTGATATTTAATAGAACAGTTTACAATTAATATGATTTCAAAAATAAATAATAACACAAAATATGTAGGTGTTTGTTAAGAAGATAAGTTGTCAATTAAATTTCTAATACGTGATATCTCAGTTACATCGGTGTTACAACAACCTCCAATTATTTTCAAACCTTTTTTACTCCACAAGTTCAGATCGTCGATGGAAACTTGGTACATTTGAGTATTATCCCAGCTATATAAATATTTATCATAATATGTCAAATGAATAAATAAAACAAATGAAGATTAAAATAGCTAGTAATTACACATACCTTTTTTTAACAGCATCCCATACTCCACCTCCATTTGGATAAGTAATGAAATCGACATTCTTAGTTTTTACGGACATCAAAAGTGGTGTTATGAGTTTTGGGTCCAGGCAGTTCATGCCGATGGCGATCAATTGTTTTCGGAAATCATTAGACCAGAACTTTTCAACTGCGCTTGCAAATGTCTCCCCGTGACTTATGTGTTTGCTGTCCTACAAACAAATAATACAAATATCGGTGTAAAAATATGCATAAATATTTTTAAAATAACAAGAATGAAAAAAACCTTTTAATGTAACACCCGTATCTGAACCAAGTCAACACTATTGGTACATTATGATTCTGATTTTGAATAATAGTTACCTATCTTGGTGAGGGGGTGTAATTAAAAAAAAAATTACCTTACACGAGAACGACAAGCATGCTTTTTGATTTGGGTACTCAGCCAGTATGTTTAGCAAAATGTCAGCCTCTTCGATCGAAGGAATCGTTTCAAAAAGTAATACATCGACATCAGCCTCCACCAGTGCTTGGATCCGAGGCTTATGCCAATCGTACAGATCTTTTGAATCAATCTTGCCAATATAATTACCGTTGTACTCGGAACCATCACACAGTGAAGCGCCGTAAGGACCAACAGATCCCATTATTCGAACTGTTCGCCCTGCAAATTAACTAAACTAAAGTAAAATTTTACAGAGCCGTCCCAAAATTTTCGGGACCAGAGGCGAATGTCATAGTTAATCGATCATCATAACACGATATGATAAAAAAAACTTAGTCATAGGAATTCGCCTAATGTTATTAAATTTGACCGAAAAAGTGGTTAAAAATCATGATATCGGTGTTAATGTAACTTATAGTCTTCAGTTTTGAAACTCTGACAACTACAGTTGCTGTTGATATGGTACCAAACAATAAAGAATAAGTAAAAACTAAAATATTGAATATTCAAAAACACCAGTAATAACTATAACAGTAGTGAGTATAATCACTAGGGCCCGGATTTTTATGCAAATGCATATTCTTCTACATTTGACGTATAATAATTCTGATTAAATATCTTGACGTTTCGTAAAACGTAGATTCTACTGTTAATTTTTAATTTTGCATATTTTTGCATATTTGCATCAAAATGCATAATAATTGCATATTTCGGGGTAATTACATAAAATGTGCATATTTAATAAATACTTGTGGCTTGGCGTGGCGCGTTGGCTGCTACCAGTCGCGGAATACGATAAAATATTTTAAATTTTTCTCGAAGTTTGATATACATGCCGATTTTTCCCGATCGTCGACGTTCCTGACAAATATAATTCGACCGAATAAAACAAAATATTTTATTAAAGGGAATTCCGTGACAGACGTATAGACGTATTATAGACGTTATCTTATAGATAAATATATATATATATATATATCATAATCTGATTTCTGGGACATGCGATTAAGCTAACATAATATTATAGTAATATTAGTTACTGGCTGTTGTTCATCGGTGTAGTGTGTCCACGGTTTTTTTTCTTAATATCAATTATCAACATTTAAAAAAATGCCAAAGGCAAATAAAGCACACTATTATGTAACCGAATATCCAGGCATCTTTAAAACAGACGGAGGTGTATTATTTTGTATTTGTTGTGGTATCAACGTGTCATGTAATAGAAAATCACAGGTTACACAACATTTAGAAACTTCAAAACACATCGGAAACTATAAGTTGAAGTCTAATAAAGAACAGGTCAGTCAACAATTTATTCAAAAATCATTTACTCAAGCTAGAACAAATAACCAACATTTAAATGAGTTTAACAATGATTTAACAACGTTTATGGTAGCAAATGATATCCCTTTATGGAAATTAAAAAACGCAGAATTTAACAACTTTTTTGAAAAGTATATTAAACTAAAATTACCCGATGAATCGACTGTACGAAAAAACTATGTTCCATTATGTTACGAAGACGTTTTACGTAAGATTAGGAAGGAAATAGGAAATAGTTCTATTTGGGTATCAATAGACGAAACTATTGATGTTCAAGGACGATATGTCGCAAGTGTAATAATTGGTTCTCTGTCTTCTGAAAATTCAACAAAACCGATTGTTTTAACTGTTGAACATTTAGAAAAGACAAATTTTCAAACAGTTTCGAAATTATTCAATGATTCAATGAGTATATTATGGCCTGAAAAAGTATTGCATGACAAAGTGTTATTGTATGTCACAGACGCCGCTCCTTATATGGTAAAATCTGGACATGCGCTTAAAGTATTTTATCCTAAACTAATCCATATTACTTGCATGGCCCATGGGCTTCATAGATTATCAGAAGCTATTAGGGATAAATTCTCAAATGTTGATTTGTTGATATCTAACACAAAAAAAGTTTTTTTAAAAGCACCTAGTCGTGTAGGTACTTTTAAAGAAAAATGTCCAAACTTAAGTTTACCCCCACAACCTATTATTACCCGATGGGGAACGTGGCTTGATGCCGCGTTTTATTATGGTAAAAATTTTGACAAAGTCAAAGAAGTTATCAACACATTTAACCCAAATGATGCAAAGTCTATTCAAAATGCACAACAATTATTTAATGATAACTCGATCAAAAATGAACTTTCGATAATTCTATCAAATTTCCAATGTATAACAGACACTATTACGTGTCTAGAAAAATCTGGTGTCAATCTTGGAAAAAGTCTAGAATTGGTTCAAAATGTAGAAAATAAATTGAGTGAAGGAGGACGAGGTATTGAATTTGCTAAAGTTAAGCTATCGGAAGTATTATCAAAAAATCCCGGATTATCACAAATAAAAAAAATTTCTGAAATTATAAGTGGAGAAATAAGAAACGACGATGAAGACCTAGCAGAGTTGTCACCAGAAGATATTTCTTGTTTCAAATACGCACCAATTGTGTCAGCAGATGTGGAAAGAAGTTTTTCGAAATACAAGGTAATGCTACGCGACAATCGCAGAAGTTTTCAATTTGATAATTTAAAAGCACATTTTGTTACATCATGTTGGTACTCATTCAATAATTAATACAAATTGTTATTCTTTATACATATTTTAAAAAATAATATTTAAATTGTATTTTTTTTTCACTTAATACCATATTTTTAAATTTTTTTTTTAAATTTTGAATTTTTAAACAATAAATTTTTTTGCATATTATTTGCATATTTTTGAATTTTTGAGTGCATATATATGTGCATATTTAACAAAAATTTTTGCATAAAAATCCGGGCCCTAATAATCACCATCCAACTTTGCTTTGCCACATCGATACTTGCAATAACGAAATTTATTCTAAGAAACAATAGGATATTTGTATCATTAATCTTCACAATCCAGCCTGCCACAACAATAAATTACAATTATCATCTTAAAGCAACTGAAAACGTAGCATGTTTAATATTTATATTATAATATGAATACAAACTCTAGAAACAAAATAAAATTGTTTTATTGAAATGCCAAATAGAAAAATATTTTAGCAATGGTAAACCTTAATATATAATCCCAATTATAAGTATTATTATCTAACTACCTTACAAACAAGTCCATCTGAAATTTTTAGCGGGCCCCTAGAAATTAGCCTAAAATGGAAACCGGTGCAAAATGGTCCGGATACATCAATATTTATGGCAATAATGTTATGATTTTATTCACCACATCATCAATCGTACGAAAATGTTGATATATTCACCAGAACTTTCTTCCATTATTGCTCGCCGACAAATCGTGACAGATTTTTTAATCAATTGGAAGCTCTGTTCATAGTTTAAGTCCAAGTGTTTTTGAAAGCCTTCGATACTCGCCTGATATGTGTTTGTGGTCAGAAATTCCGCTCCGGCTGTAACACAAAATTAGATTATAGTTTGAAAAACTACAGCTTATGATCGTGTGCATTTTTTACAATAACTTATACCTCTGATATAATCTCTGTGGCCTTTAACAACAGCTTCTTCGTTGTTAAAAAGCAAATTTGAACCCCAAAGTGGATGTTTCATGACCGTGTCGTACTCCACATACGGCAAAATTCCACTGACAAAACTTCCATCCAAGAGATACATTTTTGTATTGAGTATACTGAAAACTGAGTGAAAAATATTATTATCAGAAGAGATATGCTTCAATGTTGTATCATTACATAAAATATGTATACCAGTTGAATATTATGTTCATATACAGTGAAAGTTGCTTACATAAGACTCAAAATCGTCCGGCCGGACGTTTGCAACATTAATAAAAATATCTGTTATAATCCTCACCGCGGTTATGCAATTTGAATTTCGCTAAAGGGCTTTTCCAAGTTTGAAAAAAATCAGTGGAAAATGTATAGACATTTTCGATAACATTTCGAAATAAGTTGCCTAGTTTTTAAAAGCTATTTGAGTTGTAGTAGTTTTAATTAATGCCTTATATTTACTACTTACAACTATCACTATTGCATTTCAGATTACAGATTGATTAATTTTAATAAGCAACACGAGACACGGGTATAAGCGACTAACTGTATAATATTAACAAATTTATCGAAAGTAGCAAAATTTAAAATCATTTTTTTTAATACGTAAAATTAAAATAGGAAAATAAAGTGAATGATTCATTTAGCATGTTTTTTTCGTTTTATACCCACACCACCTATTAGATTTATTCAGTAATAGAACTCAATTTATCTTCGTCCAAATTGAGTCATATATGCGTAGCGGGCATCGTCTATTTGCGCCAAAAAAATCAATTCGTTTTCAGTATAGCCAATTTGCGTACGTAAACATTTTGAATTAACAACTTGGTAAATTCTTATATTTTAAAGACGTTATGTCTGTAACTTATAGTAAAAATATGTAAGTACTATTAACTGTTATTACTTATTTGTTACAAATTATAATAGTTCGTAATAATTTATTACCTAATAGTTTTTAAAAACAATTTGAATTTATTCTCATTATTATTTCAAAAAAATATGTATCATACAGCTATTATTGATTATTATTTTAAAAACATTCGTATAAATAACTATGATTTAAATAAAATTGTATATAATAAAAAAATATATTACTTTATTATAATTATACCATGTAATTTGGAACAAGTGGACTGTTAGAAAAAAACATACATTTTTTATTTTGGAGCAAAAGGGCTATACCCAAAACGAATTCATTTTTTTTTCGTGCAAGTGGGTGAAAGCTCAATAGCGATGTAAAATTACTGTAATATTATCCTTCGAGAGAATGTTAAGTAATTTTCTTTTTCTTCAATAATGCATTGATCGAGCCCGTAGAAAAGAGAATAAAACCTTATCACAGTCTACAACTCCACATCATAAACATTATTTAAATATTTATATGTTTAATAAAGTATACAGTATAATGCCGGATACCTATCGGTACTACTATATTAAAAATCACTAGAATAATACTTAATTCAACATATTTTCATAGTAAACCAAAAATAAAATAATAAAATATCTTGTTCAATTAATAATACAATTTTTAATAAAATTATAAAATGATATACAAAATAAAAATGTATGATTAATTACCAATTGTACTGTACCAATAGTGCTAACCTTCAAACATAATCACATCACTATGAAACTAAAAAGAAAATTACCTACCTGGTAATAATCTGCAAGAGAATATTCACGAGAATATAGTAAAGGGTATTAATAAGATATTTTTGACTAAAACTACATAATAAATTCTAAAAGAACAGTTAAGTAGCAATTGTTTGATAATTATTAATAACGTCTGTTTTCATAAACCTAATACTATTCTATGTAGATACCTGACATTAACATATAAGTCAATATTGACTATACGTGTCAATAAACGAAGTTTTAAGTAGGTACATAGTATATCAATAGTTTAAAGTTGATCTTTATGTTACGAAAATTGCTCATAATGTAAAGTGAAAAAGTAAGAAATCTACTACCTATGTTGATAACTGATAAACTTCAAGTATCTAAGATATGTATTTTTCAAATTACAACAAAATAACTAGTTATTATTATTTTTTGATAATATCCAATTTCGACTGTCTAAAAAGTTTGTTTATATATGCAGAGATGTTTAGGTTTCAGTAAGTGTCGATACTTTGAAGGAGCTATACTTTACTTTTATATTAAATTGTCATACCTTAACTATAAACATTAATATCATATACATTTTTAACAAAAAATAATTTGAGAATGTTCGTGATTTTGACGAATATTGTCTTTGAACGATTATGAAAAAAAAATTAAATGATGTAATTTTGATGTTTTTAGACTGTTATAATAACAATAATGTGGGATATTTTATTACATTTTCAAGCCGTGTAACCTTGAACCTTGTATTGATAATTCATACATTAGGAATTGAACATTAAATAATTTTCAAATTTTCGTGATTTTGATTTTGACTAATTTTGTCAAATGTTGAACGTCAATTGCTGATAAAAAAGAATAAGTATAATAAGTATTTAACACAAAGCAGCAAAACCTCTGGAGTCTACACCTACTGAAAGCAGAGTGATATTTAGTTAAATGTCTTTTTTTTAAATTTATAATATTTTAACTACCTAATAATATATAATATAAAGTTAAATATTGTAAATTATGTATGTTAAGTTATATATAGTTTAATTTAAACCAATGTATTAGTCATACAAATATAAAATACTAACAATAGTAACAGACAATAAGACAATAATTTATAAAAAAATATTATTTAAAAAGTTTACCGAAAAGTAACATTTATTTTGGGTAGAGTTTAAATTTAAACATTTTACGATAGGTATAGCATTTTCACTGGTAAATAAACGAATTCTCAGCTGTCGATTTTTGATATTTTATTGTAAATTAAAAGCGAATAACTGAAGACACTAGAATTTTCAACAAATATTTTTAATAGAATTTTCCATCCATGGTCAAGTATTCAAACTATTTTGACAAAATTCGGAGTAAGCAAAAAATTGTTCATAATTGGTTTTTTTGGTTAATACCTAACAGTTTTCAACAAAATCGGTGTTGTATGTTTGTTGTAGATTAAAAGCTATTTTAGACGTATTTATGACGGAATTTTCGGTTTTATGTATTTTTTTCTCGTTTATATATTAATTTTTTCAGTTAGTCGATAATTCAAAAAATTGAATCAAGGTCGCTCGTGTGAGTTGTTCATATTATACAATTTAAAAAATATCAAAATATTTTGTAATACATATTTTTATACTTTAAAGAAAATCATAAATGTCATGAAAATTTGCATATTATTACTTTGATTTGAATATTTGTGAAAAATATTCTTTTTGAGATTTAAAAGTTTAATTCAAGATTCCTCTTTCAGTTTGTCTACCTAAACAAACAAAATGTTTACAGAAAAATCACATAGTTTTTACAATACAATATACGAACAACTGTATATGAATACTTGAAATTTTCTACATGAACATGGTAAAATGTTCAAAATACTTTGTCGCCTTTTGAGCTATATATCTATAGACATTTTCAATTTTCATGTTTTTTTAATTTATTTCTTTAAATGTCTATGTAAATTTTTTCGTTACGAGGTTTTTTATAGCAATTTAAAATATAATTAAGTTGCATACACATGTTTTTTTTTTTAAATAAATGTCGAAAACATAAATCATTGAAAGGGTGTTGTGGTAGATAGATCCTCCACGAACCGATAAATAGAACGTTTATAGAGGGACTTCAGCTCCCCCCCCCCCCTCCAAATATATATATCTGATCACACTACGCCTATGATTATGAGTTTCCCGGTTTTTTCAAGTTTAATTTAATTTAATTCTATTATTAATATTTATATTTTTTGACGCTTTTGAAATTAAATCTCTAGAATTAGAATAAAATCGTTTATTAATATTTTTTCAAGTGTCTGAATTGACATTGCAAGTAAATCTGAACCAATTAGATAATTTTTATATGAAAATTACTTGCCTTTCGAGGTTGTGATGATAATAATATATATTATATCTATAGAATATCTATATAATATAAATACTTTAAATATAGGTGTACCAGCTGGCTATTCACTACGTTCGCGACCGACGACGAATGGGCACTGGCGATGTAGTACTCACACCGGTTTGCCTGTAACGAGAACGATTATATTATGATGGATGTATGTATTTTGAACAATCTGTGAAGTCTTCGCGTGTATCGAACATCGATGAGTGCATGACGCAATGTCCACGAGCTATTGGATAATTGTTATCAGAACGTTTAAAAGCTGAGTGGAATTTAATCGTTAAATATTACGAATTCTACAGTTATATGCCGTAGGTACGAAATACGAATTGAATCGATAACTACAACGACGAGATAACTCACACGATTGTAACAATACTTAAAAGTTTCGACTGCTGAATATAATATTATCATTATATATAAGTGTGAGCTTACACGTCATCGCTCGTCAATTATATAACAATCTCGTTTTTTTAACAGCACATCTAGATGTCTGTGTAGGTTCGTCACTACGTCTCGTGTACATACATATTTTATTGAGTATATTATTTTTTATACTATCGCATTTATTTCCTCTAATCCAGAGGTTTCCAAAGTATGTGTACTGTGTAGTATAAGTATACGTATTGTCTCCCGTCTGACAATTTCAAATGTCGACGTAAACTAGTCTAAATATTTTGAAAACTGTATGATATAATATGTATAAAAAATGATAAAATAAAAATGTTGTGAACATTTTAAGTATTTACCGTTATTTTTTTTTGAATTACAACAAATTGAGAGTTATGTAAAGAATCGTGAGATGAGAATTCTTAAATTAACGGGGGAAAAATATCTATTATCAAGTGTTGACAACATTTGAACTTCAAACGCTCATGAAAAATGTATTCCATTTTCCGCTTAACTTTTGTTTTGCTTAAGGTAGGAAAATGTATAGGGAATATCGTTTTATATTTTAAAATCTTAGAATAAAGAGAAAAAAATGTGTGAATTTATAACTCAAAATAATTTAGTTCGTTAGTTTAAAAATTAGAGTGAATCGACCTCCGATGAAACCTTGGCTTGAACATTATCTGTGTTTGTATTTGGGTTTTTTTAGTTAATTCAGTTTTTCAGTGAGTTATGAGTATTTTTAATTTACGCTCTACTATAACTTGCCAAAAAATTGAACCATCATAAAAAACCAAAATATAAACACAAGTAATGTTCTTACCCATCAAGTTTCATAATAGGTGGATTCACTCTAATTTTTAAACTAATGAAGCTATACATGATCTACTGAGCATAAATTTGCTTTGTTAAGCTCTTGTTAGACGAATACAACAAATTTCAATGTTACATACTCTTAATAATTATAACAAAATAGTATAATATTATTAAAATATAGCACTAAGGTAAATATTATAAGTTATCACCTGAAAATATATCTTCATATTTGGATTAATACTACGGACATATTTCTTTAGTCAAATAACTTATAATACAATTATTATATAACACAAAAATCATTAACTAGGTATGTAATATTTTAATTACAACTACTGAACACCGATATATAGTCACATAGCTTAACGACATTTTAACAGTAAATAACAAATAGTTAAATAAAAGTACACTACCGCTATGTAATTTTGCTCGAGGTAGTACAAGTTTTATTTAAGTTTCTTAATGCAAAAGTACTAGTACTTGGCTTATTTATAACAGAACTTAAGTACATAGTGGTAGGTCACTTTTTTAATATACAATCTTAAGTACAACGAATGCATTTAATTCATGTTGTTAAAATTGTCAAACTAATTTTTCACAGCAAAGAATATTATTTTCCATTTTATCTGGTAAATTGTAAAAACGTATGTAAGTCACTGTGGATTATAATATTTTTTTTATAATTATAATAAGAATTGATTTTATCGCAATGTGATAAAAACCAGTTAAATTTATTTTAAGTTTGTATGAGGTGCCGTGACCCAATCATGGGCCAAACTGTCACTGGACTTTCAGCATTTGTACAACAGTGTAGAACCTGCACATACCTAAACTATCGTACTCGTAATAGCACACTGAACAGTAAAATGGATTGAATATTGATTGCATTTAGTTGAAGGAATGAGTTAGGTAATTACTTATAAAAAATATTTCTGCAACCTTCGACGGGTTTTAAACCAATTCCAAATAATAATAATTTAACGAAATCGCTGGCAACAATGCACAACGTGCCCCTAAACGACTGCATTGGCTTCATCCCAAATTGATCCTCTTTAACATATTCTCTGCAGTGATTTATTGTGGTTTTCAACTGCGAAATGTTTCGCTTTTACTATGATATCGTTTATTTTATGTTATTCGAAAATGTCTATATTATACTCATTATTCCTAACACGTGAAGATTGGATACATTTGGATTATTATTATTTATTATAATATAATTGTAAATTTTATTTTTTTAAAAAAAAACAAAAATATCATTTCCCCTATGACTGAAGTCTAAAACTATATATTGTTATTTTAAGCCTTATTAGTGTCATATCAGGAATAGTATTTGAAAGAAATATCTTTTGAATATCAAAAATTAAAATATTGTTTTTTGATAAATATGTTTAGATGTCTAAAGGTTAAGAGTACATTATATAGCTGAAGTGATAATCTAGAACTTCGTTTTTTTGTTTTGCTTTAATTTAAAGTATTATGTTGTTAGTCTGTTCATTTTTCATTTTTCAATTTAAAATCTAAAATTATTATTGTTTCACCGGAAAACATTGTGTAGAAATTTGGAATTGCCTTGCTTAAAAAAAAATGTTATACCTACGGGATAAAAGTACATTTTTTGATGTGGACCATCTTTGTTGTATAACTTTTGAATTATGGAGTCTTAAAATCCACGTCCGAAAATCACACAAATATTGTGTCTATAATAACATGAGATTACATACTGTTTATTAATATTAATAATAGTACAAAATAAAAATGAATAACTGGTACATAATAATTAAGTGGTTTTTTCTAGTAGTCTAAACAACTTGAAGATTATTTTTTTTATCACATTTCATGGTTTACTATGTAATTACTATGTAATTATAATCTATTATATACCATTTATAGGAACTTAATAGTTAATTATTATTTTTATCATGTACTAGTAATAGATAGTAATTAGTAATTACATTACCCACCAATGATTATTTCATCGTCTTGATTTGTCTAAGTGACTGAGACTTTTTAAACATTATAGATAAAGAGTAGATTTGTTTAGGTTCTTCAAATATTAAAATATGTTCCTAATAGTAATGGTCAAAAAAAATATTAAAATATTCTCTTGGCAAATTTCAAACTGGTAAAGTATGCTTAAATTATATTTTATTTTTTTACTTTAATAGGTAATTTAAAAATGTGTATACTAATTACAATAGAAACATACAATTTTGTATTATTAAACAGCTAGTCATGATATACAATGTTTACATTAAACTTTATACAATTATAATAAATAATGTTTTTTTTTGTATTTACATATTTTACGGTCCATTAATAATTGCTCATAGTGTATAAATAATATAACTTGAAAATAATTATTTCACACTTTTTCTTTGGTGAATTATGTAAATTAAGTAACACTGAAAAAATTTAATAAATTATCTAAGTAATAAGGTATCCTACCATTTAATTATAACAAAATTTGTTAATATTTTAATATTGAACAATTTCTATAATTTTTAATTTATTTTTATTCTACGAAAACATTTTTACTCGGGAAATGAACAAATATAATTTTTTTATGAACAAATAGGCAATAGCACTATGTATTCTCAATAACGAAATAAAAGCTAAATATTCTCTAATCACTAAAATATACTTTGATATGCAAGATATTTTTTTTTCTACGAATTCTGTGCGAACTATTCGCCTAGTGTGTAAGGCCCTTAAGTCATCTACATTTTTCACCAGTGGTAAGTTGCATAATAGGTGGTCAATAAACAGTATACCTATGTAAAAAATAAAAACCTAAAAATGTCCTCTCTACTATCTAGAAGTCTATAGCATATTATTTTTGATGTAACCATCTGAACTTTGGAATAACCTTGTTCGGCAATCAGTATTTTTGTTTTTTGACTGTCCAGGAAAATCAAAATTAAATTACTTGCTTCTTGAAAAACTAAGAGTAGGTAGGTACCTAACTATACTCTTACTGTTTTATTTTAAATTGTGATTATTGATTGATCTAGATTTTTCAATGATGTGTTTTTTTACGTGTGTGTGTCTGTCATCACCTTTTGGGACAGTAAACATGCTTGGATTTTCTATTTGAACAATATTTCTGGTAGGAAAGTGAATCCAGTCAGGCATAAAATTCTCAATTTTTTTTTAATGCGTCAAGGAAAACAAATGAAAAATTGAGGTAAAACCTGAGACTTTTACGCAAAACCCGTTTTTGAAAAAATAAACTTTGTTTTTTTAGAACATAATATCTTTACCGAATTTATACAAGAAGTTTCTATGCCTACACTATACAATTTTCAAAATATTTCGAAAATTATTATACATTGATATTTCTACAATAATGTTGTAACTTGTAAGAGCATCTGAAGTTAGAATTTCGATAAATTGAAGATTTATTAAAATCACGAACATTTGTAAATTTGAAATTCATAAAAAGTGCTACAGCATTAGGTACAGCATTAGTGCGTTACACACATTTAACCACTTTTTTATCGATGAAAATTCATTTATCGCAGCCCGCAGGTATCATATTGTACAACAAATTCAAATTATATCGTAATGCTTATTTAATATAACATCATATTTCGATAAAATAAAACACATTTTTCTTTGTGCTTTGTAAAGCAACAAAATATCATAATTTAATAAAATAATTCATGTAGGTATACAGGGTATACAGTATACATTTTTGTTGCATTTCAAACGTAGGTTGTAGGTATGCATAGGATGGTGGACCTAGAATTAAATTGATTACAATATCGAAGGGCATACAATGTTTGCGTCACAAAAAAAAACTATCATTATTGTTATAATACCTACTTAAATCTATTAAAGTATAAACTATTAGTACTAATTAAATGTCTTTTGGTCGATCTCACGGTGTTCGACATCCGAATTCGAGTACCTGGTCCGCGCTCTAGTGGTCTGGACGTGTGAAACACTATCTTATCAATTTCAGACGAAATATCGCCGTGTGAGCCCGTTCTATATCAAAATACAATGATACTGTGCTACAGAGGTACTAACAACTAACTAATAAATTGCACAACATACAATAACTTTTTTAATAATATGACCATGGGGATTAAACAATTGTGAAGTTGCTCATAAACATAAATAGTCCATATAAACTATAAAATAATAAATA